ATATTTTTAATACTGAATATATTTAAAATTATATACTTAATATATGACAATATGTATTGTACTCTTTAAAACTCCCTTTCTTACTGAAAAGGCACACGTTGTAAGCAGTGTTTTGCACCAGTTTTCCTCCTGATATGTCCTGTTCATCACTCGTCAGCAGGCACAGGTCTTCATTCCTTTAAACAGTTCCACAGTCTTCCATCCTGTGGGTTGCATTTACTCAGCCAGCCCTGCGCTGAATCAGTCTTCCCTGGTGTGAAAGTTAAATATGGTTAAAATTTTTTTAATACTGAAATGTGATTCTTGTGGTAACACCAGTCATCAAGAGTGAAAGATGGTTTTCATGAAATGAGTTTTACTCATCCAAGCACCCTGGTTTACTCTTCAACTTAAACCTTTTTGGATGGAAATCTTTTGGATCTGTTGAAGATTTTTACACAGTTTAACCCATATTTGCCTTAAAGGGTTATTGTATTTAATTCAACTTTTTCTGTGGCTTTCAATATTTCTTTGTCTTTCCCGAATGTTAATTTGTACTTGTCAGTCGTATGTGCACAAATCAACACAATGCTCATGTGAAGGTTTTGTTTCAGCTTTTTCAGGGCCTTGGCTTTTACATATAGGAACATCCGATTTATAGAAATCCTGGTGTGTTAACATGAATGGTGTTTTATTTTATGTTTCCTAGACTAAAAAGTTTTTTAAGTTGAGAAAATAGTGCATTTGTGTCTTGAACTTTTTGTTATCTAAACCTTTGTAATACATAGTTAGGACTTTTCTTAATAATAATATTTTCTCTTGAATCAGACGTTCTGCCTTACTCAATACGGGTCCTGTTGGAAGCTGCTGTGAGAAACTGTGATGGCTTTTTAATGAAAGAGGAAGATGTTATGAACATTTTAGACTGGAAAACCAAACGGAGCAATGTTGAAGTGCCCTTTTTCCCTGCCCGTGTACTTCTTCAAGATTTCACGTGAGTGATAGACCCCTTCATGAGAGAATTTTCAGTGTTTCCTTTGTGAAATTCCCTGATTTTAATTTTTAATATTAGCTTATAAATTTTATAAAAATTGTCCTTTTTAAACTGAAGCAATTCTTTAAAAAGTAGTCTCTTGTTTCTTTTACCATTTATTTCAAAATTACTTTTGTTTACCTGCCTACTTGTCATCTCCACCTACCTAATAGGCTTTTCAGACTTCATATCAAACTTGATGGCCTGCCCACTGCACCCATTCCTTCCCAGGCTTTTTCTGTCACAGTGAATGGCACCATAGTCTCCCATTTGTTTAGGGCAAAATCTAAGAGTTACCCTTGATGCCTCTCTTTCCTTCATGTAATCCAGTCTGTCAGCAAGTTCTGTCAGCTCTACCTTTGAAATGTATCCGCCTCCACCACTGTCACCCTGATTCTAGCCTTTCTCTCTTGCCTGGACTACAACCGAAATTGTCTCTTAACTGGTATCCTTGCTTGCGTACTTGCAACCTATAGTCTTTTCATAGTAGATGAAAATGTTAATCAAGATTATATCATTTCCTTGTAGACCAGTTGGCTTCCATCACACATAGAATAAAACCTGAAGTCTTCTTGAAAGACTTTACCTGACCTGGGTGTCAGGGATTAATTGTTAGAAAAGGTCACCTTTAGCTGAGTTTTGCAGGAGTAGGAGTTAGCTAGACAAACAAGAACGTCCCCTTCACCCACCCACATGGATCTGATTTGTCTGCCACTGCCCTGAACTCTGTAGTGCTGCTGTTACAGTACTTAAGATACTATTCTGTAATCACTGCTTTATCTTCCCTGCAAATTCTTTGAGAGCACGAACCGCCTTGTTCGGCCTGTGCCATGGGTGTCTAGCACACTGAAGGCCTTTGGTAAAAGCTTGTTACATAGTTGGATGGAGATATACATGTATCTATAGTGGATAACTTTGGAGTAGCAAGAAGGCACTGGGATGGGAGGTGCTGGGGCTAGGGAAAAGGGAGGGGTGGCATTAAATCGAAGGCAGGAGAAAGAATTCCACAGGCTATTACCCGAACTTCTCTTATGCCTCTGAAAATCATCTCTTGTGTTATTTTCAGCACATCTACCCCTGAGCACTCAAGTTTTAGATAATATTTAATGTGTATAATGTTAGTTCTCATTAAACCAGGGTACATCTAACTTTGGATAACAAGTACATTGTCAAACACTAATGCAAACTAGAAAGGGATACTTTTTAAATATAGAAATGAGTAAACACGTATTAATAACCTGAGCATATAGAAAAGAGCAATTGGACTATAACTTGGTCATTTTCTATTTTTTAGTGGAATACCCGCAATGGTGGATCTTGCTGCTATGAGGGAGGCAGTGAAAACTCTTGGAGGTGATCCTAAGAAAGTTCATCCTGCCTGTCCCACAGATCTCACAGTTGACCATTCTTTACAGATTGACTTCAGTAAATGGTACTTTAATACAAATATTATAATGACAGCCATGCAGGCTAACTGACAACCCATCCACTGGAAGTGTGCGGTATAGCAGGAAGGAAGTAGAGATAATTCATGCCAGAGTATCCTACATGTAGTAATGACTAATATGTAACAAGAAAAACTGGTGACAAGTTTTTTTTATCAAATTTTTTTATTTTTTTTGTTTATATATATATATTTTTATTGATTTCAGAGAGAGGAAAGGAAAGGGAGAGAAAGAGTGAGAAACATCAATGACGAGAGTGTCATTGATCAAGCCTGTAACCGGGCATGTGCCCTGACCGGGAATCGAACCCCAATCACCTGGATCCTAGGTCGATGCTCAGCTGCTAAGCCATGCCTGGCCGGGCAGGTGACAAGTTTATGTATTGGGAATTTTTTTCTACTCCATTTGAATTTAAAAGTTATTTTTCTGTTTATATTTCTGCTGCCATTTTTGGTAGAAATGTGTAGTAAGTCTAAAGCCTGCTTTTTGGAGTAACTATCTGAGTGCAGTCTTCATATTCCACTAAAGTGAGTTTTTTCACTTCCCTTCCAAGGAGTATCTAAAGACGTGCGCCATGGATGTCTTTAATTAATTGGTGATTGAAAACACTGAGCTCACTAGAGCTCTGTTTTCCTTCCACTGAAAATTTCTTATATTTAAAAGATCCCTTGACCACAGTCAGACTTGAGAAGACATGGTATTTTACATTCTCTTGAGACTTGGAATAAGACTGAGATTTATCACCGCTCATGAGAGTGTTTGCCCTCTGGGTTAAAATTATGGTTCTGAACTTTTTAAAAAAAAAAATGTATTGATTTGAGCNATTGATTTCAGAGAGAGGAAGGGAGAGGGAGAGAGAGAGCTAGAAACATCAATGATGAGAGAGTCATGGATTGGCTGCCTCCTGCACACCCCTGCTGGGGATCGAGCCTGCAAACCCGGGCATGTGCCCTGACCGGGAATCGAACCGTGATCTCCTGGATCATTGGTTGGTGCTCAACCGCTGAGCCATGCCAGCAGGTCTGAGCTTTTAAATTGTTGGATGAAAAAATCTATTTCAGTACTTGCTAAAAGTTACTTATGTTTTTATAGAAGTATATGAAAATGATTTTATTGGGCACTTAGAATTATGTTTTCTTCTCTATAAGTTTAAATTACCTGTTTTTATTTTTTGGTAACCTGAGAGTTGCTTTCGAAACTTGAGTTAGCCTTTAGACAGTTTTCCAGTACTTCCAGATAGCATTGCTGGTGTGTGTATTTTGAAGAACTGAGTTTCTGTCACTTTTTAACTGATTTTTTCTTTTTTTGGAATGATAGCACAATACAGAACGCTCCCAATCCTGGAGGTGGGGACCTGCAGAAAGCAGGAAAGCTCTCTCCACTTAAAGTGCAGCCCAGGAAGCTCCCTTGCAGAGGCCAGACTGCCTGCCGAGGGCCCTGCGATTCTGGAGAGCTGGGCCGAAGCTCAGGAAGATCATCTTCCCAGATTGAGAACACACCCCTTCTGTGTCCTTTTCATTTGCAACCAGTGCCTGAGTATGAGACTGTTGTTTTACTTTTTATCAGTGCGCCGTGGTTTTTCGGTTAGGGAAATCCATTTTCCCCCTTCCCTTCCTGACCCCTGACTCTGCCGTCATACTGATTGTGCTGGGTGACCTACTGCCATGTAGTCCCTATTGTCCCAACAGAAGCAAGGTAGTTAAATCTGTTTCTCTTCCTCAGGAAGGAAACCTTAAGATTTTTCTGTAAATATATTTAATTTTCATGACTAATGTAGGCAGAAAAATGGTATTACATCTTAAACTGAATTTTTAGTGAATTTGTACCACTCACATGCTCATTATTTATTCATATTTCTTTTGTGAATTCTCTATTTATGGTTCTAGCTTTTTTTCCCCTACTAAAAGAGTTGTTATTTTTTCTTACTGCGTTAAGAATTCCGTGTTAAAAGTATTATCATTATTATATGTTTTATAGCCTTATTGAGCCATTTTAGGTAAGTGATTTCCTATATGGTACTATGGAAAGTAGTAAGCCTGCCTAGTAAAGACTCCTGTTTATAGGAGTTGGTTGTTTCCTAATAAGTAATTTTTTAAAATTAGAACTAATTTTTAAAATTTCAGCTTCATTGAGATACATAAAGCCTCAGGTTACAGTGACCTCATGTGTCCTTCCTTCTAAGAATCCAGCATGAGCTGTGGTCACGTTATATCTTATGCAATTACTCCTCATTCCTGCTGCCCAGTTGTACTGATTGTTCGGGCGTGTTGCCTTTGAGGTTAACATCTCCTCTTACACAGAAAGTCATTTCCTGAAAAGGAGGTTTATTGACTGAAAAATCATTGATTTTTTTCGTTGTTGTCTTTTTATATCTGGCAGAGTATGAAGTGCTAAGATGGTATATTTTTATTTTTAAAAATCCAGTTTGGTGTAACATTTCCCTTCAGTTTTGACTCTAAATTACAAAGTAGTAGGATGGGTTATATTGCAGTCCCTGGCTGTGTAAAAATAATAACTTGTGTGCTGTGATGCATCAGTGGTGTTAATTACAGGCTCAAATAAGAAATCAAGGGGAGGAGTTGAAATCACTGTCTAATTTGAAGTCGGATTATGAGCTAATAAAGGTTTGGATGGCACTTTATAGCCACAGGTGCTGTGGGAACATAGATAATTGGAGTGGCTTTAGAAAGCTGCTCCCTGAGGTCCTGAGAACAATCTCTCTGAGATGTGCTGTGGCTTAGAGTGATCACTCAGCAATGAATTATTAACATAACCTTTGTTTTAAAAAAAAGTTGACAGTTGAACAACTATAATTATCTGGACCCTGGAGGACATGTATAATTTAAGTTGTATTGATATTCAATCAACGCTTAATCACCAGCTGAGCTGGCAGGTAAAATAAGCAACTTAAAACTGTTAGTAATAATTTTTTTTTTAAATATCCGTTAGATAAAAATAAGCTTCCTAAAAATGGGCATGTTTACTGTTTGGAGGTGAATTGTTTTTACCTCTGAGTTAAATAATTTATTAATTTACTTCCATTTTCCCTGGCACAAGGCCATGTGGTTGGAAATGTTCATGCTTATGGTTGAGTAAGTGACCCAATCCTTCTTTCTTGTGGAAAATCTAGCAAAACTTACTGCTTTGTTTTTAATACAATTTTAGCCAAATCTCACAGTAATGCACACTAAGTACAGTTTGGGATACTGTTGTGGACGTGACTTTAATATGCCCAGTGAAATAATGAGTCTTTGCAATAGCTGCCTAGTGTGTTATTTAAAGCCACACCTCCTTGTCGAAAAGAAGGTAATGGATTCTGAGAAGTCCAGTAAGTTGCTGCCGCAAGAATTTTAAAAGCATAGTCGTGTGTGTGTGTGTGTGTGTGTGTGTGTGTGTGTGTGTGTGTAACAGCGAAGACTTGGAAACAAGGCAGATCTTTAATACATACATTTAATGCCAGCTCTTTTTCCATTTAGACCTGAAACAGTATTAAAAACTCAAGAAGTAGAATTCGGCAGAAATCGAGAGAGGCTTCAATTTTTCAAGGTATAAATGCTTTGGGGGAAATTTTTTCATTGAAATTTATAAAATATTCATAGGCATGGTTTTTATATCTTAAGACCAATAGTTTTTTGGGTTTTTAAAATACATATATTTTTAATATATCTTTATTGATTTCAGAGAGAGGAAGGGGGGGAGAGAGAGAGAGATAGAAACATCAATGATGAGAGAGTCATTGATCAAGCCTGCTACCCGGGCATGTGCCCTGACCGGGAATCGAACCGCGATCTCCTGGATCCTAGGTCAATGCTCAACTGCTGAGCCATGCCCAGTCGGGCAAGACGAGTAGTTTTTGAACACTTCATAGCAGTGAGCTGGGAGGGCTCCCCTTCCCTGAGTCGTGGGGACACAGTTGGAAAGTACCATTTATCTGGACTTTCGGAATGTTTTTCTTTGACTTAATTGTTTGCAAAATGAGTATGTTTAGGTTTAGTCTCTGCACATACATGTGTTTTTTAATGCATATTTATTTTTAAGCCTGTAGTATAAACTTGGACCATATGGGACATTGGTAAAATATTTTCAGTGTCAATGTGTATATCATGATGGTCAGCACAAATTCATATAATGTACTAACACTTGGATTTCTTGATACAAAACCTAGTGGTGTTCAAGAGTGTTTAGGAATGTGGCTCTAATCCCCCCTGGAACTGGAATGGCTCATCAAGTGAACTTGGAATACTTGTCGAGAGTGGTTTTTGAAGAGAAGGACCTCCTCTTCCCAGACAGCGTTGTTGGCACGGACTCTCATATAACCATGGTGAATGGTTTGGGGATCCTGGGGTGGGGTAAGTAAACAGTTAGTGTATTTCATTCTTTTGGGGAGAAGATGTCAGGAACATTATAAAGAACGCAAATAGCGAGACTTTTTCATCTATAATAGCGAGAAAAATGAATCTTATCAACTCAGGTGTTTGTGGACAGTGTGTTGTAAGAGGATTTGTGAAATTTACACAGTGCTCAGCACAGCACCCTGAGTAGAGTGGTTAGAGTGATGGTGACAATGTCTGTGAAGGTGATGTGGTTACTCTCTTGTTTCAAGTTCTCCTGTGGCTTCCTCAGATTCCTTTGCATTTTATACAGGGCCCTTCACAACCTGGTGCCTCTGGCCATTTGCCCACAAACATCTTTTTTGTTTTTGTTTTTTTTTAAGATTTTAAAGTTTTTTTTATGTGTTTGTTGATTTCAGAGAAAGGAAGGGAAAGGGAGAGAGAGATAGAAACATCAATGATGAGAGTCATTGATCGGCTGCCACCTGCTAACCCCCCACGGGATGGAGCCCTGACCGGGAATCGAACCATAATCTCCTGGATCCTAGGTCGATGCTCAACCGCTGAGCCACATCGGCCAGGCCACAAACATCTAAGAGACACTCATTTATTCCCCGAGCAGGTTGTACTCTTAGTGTCATGGCTTCGCACTGGCTGCCCCCTCCTGCGAACACACTTAACTGTTTTACAGCATGTTGTGACAACTAACTTTTTTTTTTTGTCTTTGCCACTAGGCTAAGCTTCTTGAGCTTGACAGGGACTGGGTTCTGTTCATATCAGATCTTGAGCATAGTACCCTACTTAGCACAATAAATACTAAGTGTTTACTGAACTTAATAAAAAGGTAAAAGTCAGTGTTTTCGAGTAGAGTCACTCTTGAGAAGACTTGAGTTATGAACCCACAGCAGTCGCAGTGAAGCAGCTTTGTAAGAGGAGCTCCTGAAATACCTCCATGTCGCAAGGATAACTCGAGTTATATCCAATGTCCTGTGCTAATAACGTGCGTCTTTCTTACTGCAGGGGTTGGAGGCATTGAAACAGAAGCAGTTATGCTCGGGCTGCCCGTTTCTCTTACATTACCGGAGGTGGTTGGGTGTGAGTTAACTGGCTCATCAAACCCTTTTGTTACATCCATAGATGTTGTTCTTGGCATTACAAAGGTACGTCCAAGGTGTGCGTTCAAGTTGTGCGGGGAAAACACTTCCTTCGTACTAGAAAGTGCAGGGCAGTTCGTTGTGTCATTGTTCACTTGACATGTTAACTCATTTTCATTACAAGCCTGTGAGATTGGTACTGTGACATTGGTACATTTCCCTATCTTAATTCTAAGAAAACAGACACAGTTATTAAATGACTTACCAAGGGGTCCAAGGGCTGAACAGGAAGTGGCGAGAGCAGCTCTCTAACCATGCAGTCAGGCTCTGGAGTCCTCTCTTACTTCTTCTGCCTTCCTGCCTCAGGAAGTAGCTGGTTGGCTCCAGGAATATTAGGAAAAGTCTAATTTCCTTTAGTACTTAATCGAATCATTTACCCTTTAGAAACCATTGCTCTACTAGATAATTGCAAACATAGCAACTGTAGAAATGTGATGGTGTCAGACTTTTCTGTTGGCCGTTCTAATGTTGCTCTAAAATACTGGCTGCATGTGTTCAGTACTGTAGGGTTTCCAAGTGAACAACTGTCTGTAGCTGCCATCCTGAGTTTCTGGTGCTCGCTCACTTCATGATAGTGATTAAGTCGCTTGAACCTCGGGGTGTTCCACATGTAATCCCAGTTGGATCCAGGTCTCAGCACTCTGGGTCTGTTGTAGTTGGAAGGCTTTCAAGGTACTCTGAAGGGAAAGGAAAGGGTGTTGCCTCCCTAATTGGAAAAACATTTGACATCTTATAGAAATTATTGATTTGATGTATGGTCCAAAGATCAAGAAGCTAAATTGAGAATTACAGCATTATTCCTAATGGAAAGGGAACATCTCATTATGTTTTTACAGAAATCAGTTCTTCCCTTCAGATACTCTGAAAATTAATGTTCCTTTTTAGACTCCTCTGGCTGTATTTTTAAAATAATATATGTCTGTTTTTGACATTTTGACTTAGTGATATGAAAGTAAAATTTATTGTGCATAAATTTATTGAAGATTGAGTTTGTTTGAGGCCCTATCTTATTCATGGTCTTTTTTTAAAAAAATATATCTTTATTGATTTCGGAGAGAGGAAGGGAGAGGGAGAGAGAGAGAGAGAAATATCAATGATGAGAGAGTCATTAACCAGCTGCCTCCTGCAGGCCCCCAACTGGGGATCGAGCCCGCATCCTGGGCATGTGCCCTGACCGGGAATCGAACCTCAGTCTCCTGGATCCTAGGTCGATGCTCTACCACCGAGCCACACCCAGCCAGGCTTATTTATGGTCTTTATAGGATTAATGATGTATTTTTCAAAATGTACATTGTGGTATCTCATTATTTTGGCAAATGCAGCAGCTTGGAATATCTAATATGTCTTGCTCTCCTTTGCAAAAAAATAACCATGAATATAGGAGACATCTTTTTCTTAGGCTTGAGTTTCTACATCTATAAAAACAAGTTTGGATTAAGTGATCTCCAGCACCTCTACCATATGGGACTTAACATTATTCATAGGTTGAAGATTGTTTTGTTCTTGGCCACCCGTCAGGGTCTCTCCCTACACCAGTCTGAACCCTAAGATTGTACAACTTTGGAAAAGTGAACAGCTGTTTCAGTTACTTGGTAGTAACTAAGAAAAATGATTTTAGGGATTTAAGTATGGAGCTACATGTTAAATCCTATCAAAATGGAATTTATAATTAATATTGATGTAAATATTTGAACCAGTAGTTGGAATTCTAAGAATATTTATAGATAGTATATAATTTCTTATTTATATGCACAGTTGGATCAGTGTGTTAGTGTTTCATTAAATCCAAGATGCCATCAGTGGTTAAAGCATTATTATATTATGTACTGCTAAGAGCAAAAAGACTGCCAGCTAACACACACACCATCAAGTCTAAGCTACACCCCAGTTTCAGAAGTGTTAAAATGTGAATCTCAGCTGTTTCGAGCTTTCACGCCCTTTTCTATCCTAACAGTGATACTGGAGCACTTTTCTATCTTAAAATACCTGCAAGACCACAGTGAGTTGATGTTTCATAAGAACAACAGAAGGCCTCTTTGCTTTATTGTTACTAGTGTCAGGTGAAAATTAGATTTTATAGTTTTCAGAGAATCTATGCCAACCTTATTGCTAATTTTGTGTGCATTTCTGTGTGTCCCTTTATATAGCACCTCAGGCAAGTAGGAGTGGCTGGAAAGTTTGTTGAGTTTTTTGGAAGTGGAGTTTCACAGTTATCTATAGTGGATCGAACTACAATAGCAAACATGTGTCCAGAATATGGTGCTATCCTCAGCTTTTTCCCTGTTGACAATGTGACATTAAAACATTTAGAACATACAGGTAAGAACAAAAGATCATTAGGATAAACATGTTATGTTTCTAATGTGTGTGTCTGAAATGTTTCATAATAAATCATAACCTTGTTTTGTTAATATTCATAAAGTTATTTGGGCACAGTGGCTTTCAAATAAACTGCATCAGAGTACTTTAGTGTCGTGCCCTCAATCCCTAGTCTCCTCTGACCCATTCACACACAGTTCAAAGGAATTACTCAAAGCCCTTCTCCCCGTAGTGAGGATGCCCCGCCCTGCTCAGGATTCACATTCACTGCTGCTCCCTCTATGTCCAGAAGTTTTGGGGCCACCGGATAGAAGAGGCTGAGAGCCAGAGCTCTGTCTGAAGGATAAGAACGTAATTTTGTGGACAGCAGCGTAAGGTTACAGGTTTTAGTCTCTTTTTGTAGCCTGATTAACTAGGAACTTTGACCACTCTTCATTGATTTTTGTTTGTTTGTTTTTTAGTTTTATTGATTTTAGAGAGAGGAAGGGAGAGGAAGAGAAAGATAGAAACACCCATGATTGGCTGCCTCCTGCACGCCCCTTACTGGGGATTGAGCCTGCAGGGTATCAGAGCGTGACCTCCTGGTTCATAGGTCGATGCTCAACCACTGAGCCATGCCGGCTGGGCTTGGCTGTTTAATTTAAAATAGAAACTACCCGAAAAACCAGAACATGATAATGCTCCATAAGGCCCCTGAGGAAAAAGCAGGATCTCTTTTTTATTTGATACACTTCCTATTTTTTAGAGATCTTTGCTCTAATCAAAGGTATATTTGGGGCCCGGCTGGGCATAGCTCAGCAGTTGAGCGTCGACCCAGGATCCAGGCAGTTGGGGTTCAATTCCCAGTCAGAGCACAGGCCCGGGCTGTGGGCTTGATCCCCAGTCGGAGGCGTGCAGGAGGCAGCCGATCAATGACTCATCGTTGGTATTTCTATCTATCCCTCTCCTTTCCTCTCTATGAAATCAATGAAGATACATTTAAATATATATTTGAGGGCTATATTCTTGTATTCTTCAATTTGGGGGCAGATTATTGTCAGTTAATAACTCAGATGTCAAAATGTCCCTGGTGATTTGGAGCCTCAGAGGGAACGGCCCTTGTAGAACGGCCCTTGTATTGCTCTAAACAGGATTTTGGTTGGTAGAACATTCCCTGCATATTAAAATGAGGTATGTATTAATGATCTATTACTGTGTAACAAATTATCCTCAAACTTCGTGGCTTAGAACAGCAATAATCATTTATTGCCGTATGGTTTTAGTGGGTCAGTAATTCCCATGGCACAGCTGGGACAGCTTGTCTCTGCTTCATGGTGTCATGGGCCTCGGCTGCAAGACTTGAGAGCCAGGCCAAGGAGTCTCCAAGGCTTCTTCACTGCACGTCTGGCAGCGCGGGCTGGCTGCCGGCCGAGGTTTCTCCATGTAACCTGAGAGAGCGAGCAGGCAGCAGCCAGAAATCCCATTGCTCAGGTTCCAGGGGCACAAACACAGATGCCACATTTTCATGGGGGAATGCTGCCAGCACGTTGTAAGAACATGTAGCTTGGGGGATCCATTGCTGTGGCAAGCATTGGAACATGCAACCTTTCACAGTCACTTACTTCCCATCTGGCTTACACATAACCTCCCAAATATTAAACTGGAAACTTTCATGTTAATATCTAATTCTTTTCATATCTGGCAGATCTTTGTGCTCTGTGAAACTATTTTTAACTTTCATTTACTTTAATCTTTACTTGTGACTATTATATCAGTGTTGCTTATTGTTTAGGGAAAATAATGAATTTACTCTTCATGGTAGGTCGTAATTTACTATGTTCAATTTTTTTATTGGTTTTTCTTTTGCAAACAGTATTTTTTGTGAATTTTATAGAACTGGCTCAGTATTTCCGATCATGTCTGTGATCTGTCAACCTTTTTTTTTTTTTTTTTTTT